AGGCAAACTCCTGTCTTGCAGGATTGTGATTTTTTACAAGGTAACTATTTGTTCACATATACTACCAAGCGGAGGGGAGCGGGTGGAGAGGGGGTGCAAGGTGCCAGCTTTTGCTTTGCCAAGATGGCTGTACTTATGTCAGGGCTAGACTCGAGGTGGGTACAGCCTTGTTTTTCTTGGCCTCCACACTACCTACTCATAAAGTTATTAAAGTTTACATGAAATAATACAGGTCAAGTGCTTAGCACATCTGGAATATGCCTCGTGTTTCACCTGGAGCAATACATCATCTACTCAGACTCGCCCCCCACCCCACCATTTTTAAACAATTTTTTCTTCTGCAGCTTCACTGTCTTCCATTGGTTTGTATGCAGATGTTGTCACAAACTTTGAAAAATTGTCCTCTGTTTTTCCCTCTCTTTGGCTTGCTGTTATTTCCATGTATTAATCTCAGGTTTAGGCCTTACATTAGACCCCTGTAACTCAGATGCCTCACTGTGGGCATTCCTCTCTGTGCTTCTTTTTCCTCCCTTCCATCTCAAGGGACAAACTGACTTTTGGGGTATGTGTTCTACATGCCTGATCCAGATTTAGCTTGCAGACCATTTTATAAGTGAACAACTCTAACTTTTAGTCATGTAGACATCAGACTAGCTGGTTTCAGGTAAGTTACTTCCATCTCTGAGGCTGAGTACCCATTTTATCATTCTCTAATGTAGGGACAATAAGATTCACCTCCTGGGGGCAATCAAGAGGATTAAATGTAAATGATCTATGTGAAGCTCCTAGGGGAGAGCTATATACAGTGCTTTTCCCTCCTTATTCCTTCAGAAGTCATTATGGTAAATGGTTTGTTTTCCTTCCCCCATGACTACCCCGTTTTCTTTTTATTATATTAGTGAGACAGGCTAATAAGAAGACTGATGCATTAAAATACCACTTAATTCAGGACATCCCCCTTATTAGGAATTCACAACCATTCTGTCAGGACCCAGGCTAAAATTTACCTTGTCATTTAATCCCATGGACAAAGAGGGAGGCCAAGGAGGAAAGGAGAAAAGTGGCGATGTCTGAGCCACGTTGTGCCTGGAGCTACTTCGGTGAGGTGCGGGAGACTGGTTTTGCTTCATAAAAAGTAGCATGTAACTGACAATGGGATATGTTGGGGAGGCTATTGCATTTATTAGGGGAAAAAAAAAAAGACAACTTTTTAATGTCCTACGGCTTCCAGATGGACTTATTTGAGTATACTCAATTTCCTGAGTATAAATATTCCACAAACTCCACAAACTTGGTGACTGTACCAAAGCCTTTTCTTTCCAGGTATGTCACATACCACCCTTACAACTACCCTATTACATGAACTTCACATTTCCTCACATTAGGTTTTTAGCTAAACACCGAGTTTGTTAGTGATTTTCCCTGTTTTACTGCTGAGGAAAGAATGAGCTTGGAATTTCCTCCACAGAATCTTTAAAACTTTCATTTTCTGAGCAGGTAACAGAGAGGAGAGTATAGAGGGAATTGAAGATTAGAATTCAAGTTTAGCCTGATGTAAACAGTTTTGATGTGTAGACCACAGCTCTCCAGCAAAGAAAGCTTCTTAATGGGGAGGAGAGAAGTGCATTTTAAGACATAAAGAAAGCTTTCAATGTCATCGCCCATTAGCTCTCCTTGGCGTATTTATTCTGCCTTATCCACGTGCCCTGTGACCTCCAGCCTCTGCCCTCTCACAGATGCTCCTCTCTCCACTTTAGAAGGGAGCTGGATAGAGGAAGAGGAAGCTAAAAGTGAAGGCCCCTTAATGGTCACCCAATTACAGAGCTTTATGGTGTCAGGCAAATGACTATTCCTATGGACTTTAGTTATCTTATCTGTAAATTGTAAAGAATAATACCCAGTTCACCAGAATTCTTTTGGGGATCAAATTAAATCCTCAACTTCTCAGGATCTGTAGGATGGAATAGTACTGAGACACACCAATGGTGAATGACTGTGGGAAATGCTGTTGACTTTATGTTAGTGCCATCAAGTCTCTGAGGAATTCTACAATACAAACAAAACAAAACAAAACAAAAACCCATTTGGTTCTGTTAACATGTGCTGGACAATGCCAAACCAACAAGTACAGAAACAACGAGTTCCATTGTCATCTCCTTATTTTTATCCTAGGTCCCAAGTTTCTGACTTAAGAGTCCAGAGAGAAGGAGCCGATCTCAGTGTATGTGGGGGCAGGTGGGGAAGGCAGAGAAAGCATGCCCTACAGAGATTTTAGGTCAAGATAATTCTACAGCTCTGGAGGGTGATTCTAAAACTCATCTTTTTTTTTTTTTTAAGATTTTATTTATTTATTTGACAGAGAGAGATATCACAAGTAGGCAGAGGCAGGCAGAGAGAGAGAGAGGAGGAAGCAGGCTCCCCGCTGAGCAGAGAGCCCGATGCGGGGCTCGATCCCAGGACCCTGGGATCATGACCCGAGCCAAAGGCAGAGGCTTTAACCCACTGAGCCACCCAGGCACCCCTAAAACTCATCTTTAAAGAAATATTTTCCCTCCAGTTAACCCCTTATGAATAAATAATAATAATAATAATAATAATAATAAAGTCTATCTGCAACCAGGATAAGAGTGAAAGGATGGAGGTGAAGAAAGCACTTCCAGTTGTAGTTAGAATGCATCAGAAGTAGTTAAATTCCTCTTTTCAATGACTAGCGGAGCAGAAAGTATGGTTTTCCTGGCAAAGTGCTAGAGATACAAAGTATTTTTCTTCCCCCATTATAAAAACAGGAATGAAGAAAAGAAAATGCTTTGGAAGATGAAAGCAGAGATGAAAGCAAACAACAGATAAAGAGTTGATTGTGGTGTTTTCAGCAAACGAATGAATGAATGCATGAATGAATGAGTAGAAAACCACATGAGAGAAAATAATGGACTTTGGTAGTGTTTGTTTGCGAAAGAATGGAGATGATTTCTTTTTGCTAAACTAAACCCACAGCGAAATTTAGAAAAATTGATATTCAAACATTGCATGTTTTTATATTCATGGCATCAGTTCAATTTGTCATTAAACAGGCCAATTTGAGAATGCCTGTTTTAAGTAGCACCTCAAAAAATGACCTTGTAAAATCAGGTTGAGATACATTATATGTCCTGAGGGCAACAGGAAGCAAAAGGGAAAATATGAAATCAGAAAATGTCCTGTAATTGTCACTTCACTGGTAAAGGTGATATAACCTCCATTATCAGTCAGGAACTACTTTGATGCCTAATTTCACTGACTGTCTAACTTATCAAATTGAATTAAGCACAAATGAAGAAATACTTGTCTAGGGAAAAAAGTACCATGCCATTTTGCTTTCTGTCAACTGAAAACCAACCCAATTAGCACAGACAAGGAAAAATAAGCTCAAAATATTTTATTGGAGGAGTAAAAGTTTAAAGGGATTGTTTCTCCCCAACTGGCCTAGCAAGTTAGTTGACAAAAACACTGGAGTCCCTGATGCTAGCTATATCCAGAATTGAGAAGTGGTTGTTTTCCTTCACTTATTCCACTAATATTTGAGTGATGATAAGTGCCAGGTCCAGATCATTGCTTTATAGGATAAACAATGCCTCCTCTTTCCTCCCTGTTCTAAGCCTGATGTTTCAGTGTGTCTCCCCTTTCATTGTTTGCATAATTACCCAGAGTTTGCTAGATGGTGTCCTACTCTTTAGATATTTGAAGACAAGAATCACCCAACAGGAAACTTCTCCAAGGTTGTATCCAAAGCAGCATCAATTCTCTGTTTCCTTCATGTACTTGGTAATAACAATGTAGAAGCTTTTCTGACCCTCCGGTTCTGCCCTGGTGCTAAATTTTGTCCAGAGTAAATGAGAACTTGAGGATACAGAGCGTTTTTGAAGCCAGAGTGCTAGCGGTTGCTGAGGACTGTGAGCAATGAGCTCTGTATGGGAGTCTAGAAGACTGCAGGACCCAGAGCTATAGATGGGAGTGCAGAGTTCTCAACGGGCAGGAGAGTCTAACCAGGGCAAGTCACCATTCTTCTCTGCGTACAGGTTTTTCTCAAGAAATGAGGGATGTGCGAAGAGATGCTTCTAGCTCAAATACTTGTTTTTCTGTTGTGGCTCATTTGCTTCAGCATATGAAAAAAAATTCCCCTTTAGAAATGGGAAAAACGATCTTTTTCTCTAAATGATTCATGAAACAAGGAATTTTACAAAGAAAGAAATCCTTTCTGCTTGCCTCACCTGAGTGTTCTTTCTGCTCCCTTCTTCTTTTTGCTCAGCTGCCACCTGCTAGCTCAGTCCCTTTTTACAATCTTATCATTCCTGGTATGCCGGCCTATCCCTGGTGGCAGGTGCCATCTGGAGCAGCTTTTCTTTATTTCTCTGTCTTATTAATCTGCATTTTCAAATGGTTCCTTTTTCTTCTAAGTATATCTTCATCTCCCTCCACCTCCCCCAACACACATACTTTGTGGAACTGACCTTCTACCCCAATTTTTTTTTCTGTCCAAAATTTCACACATGCATTTTCCAGTAAGCACTTAGTTCTGCCAAACTGAGTCTCTATATTTTTTGGCTGAAAAATGCCAAATGTACAGAAGTTGTTCTGTTTTCTATTAACCATTTACTTGTCTCAGCAGATATCTTCACATGGATATATGGGCTAATAAGAGTCTAAGCAAATAGAATGCCATTTAAAAATGAATAACATGTAAAATATTGTGGAATACTGCCTAACTGTATGTTTTAGACTTTGACTGAGAGTATGGATACTACTAAAAAAGAAAATCAGAATTTTAACAAAACCCTTACAGAAAAGGAATGTGACATATCTATTTCTTTATCAATGTATCTGTTTCTATTTTGTAACCACATTTGGTGATGCTTGGGATACAGTAATATGCCTTTTTGTTCATAAGGATGTTTCCCTCCATTAGGTCTCATCAGTAATATTTAAAATATAGAAATCCCTTTCATTAAAATATGTTCATGAAAATAGATATTTCTTCCCTTAGAAAAAGAATTAAAAAGTTTTGGGGGCCTAGTTTTAAAAGCATCAAGCTTTACTTGATTTATTTTGGTGGTTGTTTAAAGGATGTGAAATATATCACCACTGCAACTAGCAAGAACTATAAATGATACATTATTGCAAGTGTTCTAAAAAATCAGAACAAAACTAATTTATTATAGTTCTGTCTTCATTATACACCACATGTTGGTGAGTTAAACACAACAAAATTGTCTTTTCTTTTAAAAGTGTCTACTAAAGATAAAAAGAATAAGGTAACAATTAACATGTAGTTTGTTACATTAAAAAATCTGATATACATATTTCTATTGCCTGTTAGCTTATTCTAAGCCTCTTAACTATTACAAAAAAAGAAGTCATTGTTCAAAGGCAAACATTCAATTCAGTTGATACAACATTACAGTACAGTCAACTAACATCATTCAACAAAGGTAACAAGTCTAGCCTTGGCTTCTTGAGTTAAAAGTCTGTAGACCAGATTGCTACAAAAGGTTCAATGCTGCTTCACACTGTATGTTAGCTTTGCGAGGACATGGTACTTTCTATTGATGGCTTCAGAAGAAGGGGTCATGCTATTGGTAAAAGCACAGGGGAACCCCAACCTGTCATTAATCATTTTATTGAGCATTGTAGTTAGAACAGCATTATTGAGTTTAGCACAACTAAAACAAAATAATAATAATAATAACATTATAATCATAATCATAATAATGATAAGAATAAAAACCAAACACAAACCGGAAGCCTAGAGATGCCGCCAGCCGTGTCAAACCCTTGCGATACGCTATACTAAAAAAATTTGAAATATCCACCCGTCCTCTCCACTCTGCCACAAACTAGCAAAGTCAAAATACAAAAGTCTTCAACTTGTTACTTTTGCAGAATAAAGCAAAAACGTCTTTGTGCTCCTTACTACCAGAAGCAAAATGTCCACTGAGTTACCACATGTAATAGCTTCTGGATGTGTCAACCTGGGTTGGCTTGGTGTCTGCAGAACCATCTTTGTCTTTCTCACTGTCACCTTCCCAGAGGTTAATGAGTGGTGGGTACAGCTCATTTAGTGGGATTGAAGAAGTTTTTTGCATATACTTTTTTAATGAATGGTGGTAGTTTTTCCTCTTAAACCTTTTGGCAATATACACAGCAATGGACGCGAGGCTAATGACGGCAAACATGGACCCCATTACTGCAGCAAGGGCTGTACTTGTTTCTTGGTCAGAAATGTCCAGTGCAAAGGCGGCATTTTTAGTTGTGACATTGACACACGACTTTTGAGTCTGCTGATGAATATTGGACACTGTGAGACATACTTCATAATCTGTGGAAGGCTGCAGATGTGTTAGGTTGTACTCATGAACATCTACTGGGACCCTGGCGGTGTATGTTATGTGAGGATTGTCAATCTTCATGGTGGCAGAGGACCATTTTAAGTTTGATGTCATGACATTGGAATTAACTTTCCAGGACACTAAAATGGAATGAGATTCTGTCTGCTTGACATATATTTTCAGCACCTGGGTACCATCCAGAAGGGTCCCATTAACCTTAATTGTTACCACACGTGTGTCGGCCCCTTCCACATTCTGGGCAACACAAGTGTATCTTCCTGAGTCTTCAATTTGTATGTTAGATATTTCCAAAGTACCTTCACTACTTAGCTTGTATTTATCTGAAAGTGTATCCACAGTTATCTTATTTCCAAGAGGAGTGACCCAGTAAATTTCAGGTTCTGGCTCAGCCATGGCCCGACAGTCTAGGAAAACTGTTGTGCCAATATCCATGTTTAAATGATTTGGGAATGTGTCGTGAGATATCATTGGGAGGCACTGTTCACTTGAATCCTGGATTAAAACTTCCTTTACCTGCTGTCCTCTATATTCAGGTGGCATGGCACAGAACATGGACAACGGCTCCATGAATCGGATGTTGGTCTTGTTGGAATTAATCCAGTGGATGACACAATCACACCTCAGAGGATTGCTGTGGATACTAATCTCACGAAGATTGGGAAGGGATTCTACAGTCTTTTGGTAAACAGCATTCAAGGCATTGTTGTTCAACATCAAGCTTTCTAGGGCAGGAACACTTCGAAAAGCCAAGCGGTGGATATAAGATAATTTGGGGTTATTGGTAGCTTCTAACTTTGTGAGTTCAGGCAAGTTATCAAGGGCATAGCGATCCACAGAAACAAGTTCCCCCATGTTGTTGATTCCCAGTTCTTTCAGTCGAAGCATATTTTTGAAATCCCCTTCTTGGATTTTGTGAATGGGGTTTTTATTGAGGTCTAAGAATTTTAAATTTGGAACTTTTTGCAGAGCAAGCTGAGGAACCTTGACCAGTTTGTTATCATAAAAAGACAGGCTTTCAAGGCTATCCAAGCCCACCAAGGCATTTCCGGGAATATCAGTGAGATACATTCCTGCCAAAACCAGGCTTCTCAGATTTGAGAGGGGTTTAAAGTTCATATCTAGAATTCCAATCACGGGGTTTTCCCCAATCATGAGTATTTCCAGGTTGGGTGTTGAATCAAACCAGCGGCTATCGATAACTTTCAATTTATTAGAGTTCAAGTGAAGCCTTAAAAGATTTTTTAAGCCTGAAAAAGCATTAGCAGAAATAGTGCTAATCTGGTTATGGTTGATATAGAGTTCTTGAAGGTTGCTGAGGTCTTGCAGACAGTAATCAGTCATTTCTGTAATCTGATTTTCCTCCAAATGTAGAGTAGTGAGCTGGGTTAGGTTTGTCAGCCCTACCTCCTTAATATTTGTAAAGTTGTTTTGGGAGAAATCTAGCTCAGTCAAGTTGAAAAGCTGCTGGAGCTCATCCACGGTCTTTGCGATGTTATTGCTCTGTAAGAGAAGCACTTGGGTATCACTAGAAAGGTTGCTGGGAATCCTTGTTAAGCGGAGATCATTGCAATCAACAGTAGTAGCTTCTCTATATGTTGACTGCGGGGTGAACCAGGGCCTAATTTCACATACACAAAGTTGTGGACACTCACTATTTTGTAGGGAAGACCCAGTTAATGAAGTCATTAGCGAGCCCAGCACCAACTGGCAAGCTGCTAAAACAAAGCTCATCCTAGCCATGCTGGCTTGCCAAGTGAGCTCCCGACACCCCTATGTTTTAACAAAAGGTGAACACTAGATAGTGTGGTATGTAGGACAGCAAGCAGAAAATGTAAACATTCAAGCAAAGTCCTAGTAGAGTTGTGTAAAATTCCGGAGTCCGAAGAGATGATTTTCAGGAGTTTTCAAAAGGCAGGAAGCAATTGGGAGTCTTTTAACTGCTTCTCTCAATTCCAGGCATGCCCACAGCTCTGTGGTATGTTACTTCAGCCAAATCAAAGACTGGAGATGTGCCTGAAAATTAGATTAGGACAGATGTTATGTTTTTTTCATATATTTTCTATATTATAGACTTCCTTTTGTCTACTAAAAAGGCATAATCACAAATCTATTAACAGAATATTCAAAGTAACTACACAAACTTTTAAATTACAGTATATTTTCTATATTCCACTTACTACACTAAAAATAGTTACCACTCTTGCAATTTAATTGGGTAAAATCATCAAATGCACACACATAATAGGGACACTCAGAAAAACAGATGTCATTTCTTTAAAAACAAGGTCGACTTTAAAAAAATGGAAGGCTCCAAGAAGTCAAAAGATCAAAAGCAAAACATGAAACACAGTTTATAAGAGACTCAAAGTTAATTCTTAGTTATTTATATTTTATCTTATTATTTTTTAAAAAGATATTTATTTATTTGAGAGAGAGAGAGAAAGGGAGAGAGAGCACGAGAGAGCACAAGCAATGAAAAGGGAGAAGCAGGCTGCCCATGGAGAAGGGAGCCCGAGGCAGGACTCAATCCCAGGAGTCTGGGATCATGATCTGAGCTGAAGGCAGATGCTTAACCAACTGAGCCACACAGGCACCCCTAGTTATTTATATTTTAAAGAATAACTGTTTTTATTTCTTTTCAGCAGTTCTTTTTCCAAATTCCAAAATATAGAATTATATATTCTGTAGACATATTCAGCCAGTGCTTTTCTAGCTCAGTTATTCTTATGCAAAAAATTCATTTAATACAACTACAGAGAGAAAATAGCAGTTTTTCTTATATTCTAACAATCATAGCTAATCTTGACTGAATAAAACAAAGGAATTTATCCTCCTATTATCACTGATTTTGATTTTAATGAAAAACACAAACATACTTACACATGTTTAATTTCAACAATCTCATGGGAATCTCACTAGCCACTTAGTAGCTATAAAACATGGATATATTGGATATGTTCTTTTTTGGGGATATGTTCTTTTGGGTTCTTATCTTAAAGCCTCAGCTTCTTCAACTATATAAGATAGGGTTGATCCTTAAGAGAATTAAAGGAATCTATATAAGGCTCACAAAAGTTAGTTATATGTATTGTCATCCTTCCCCGCCCCAACCCCTGACTAAGGGGCAGAGGGAGAGGGACAGAGAGAAAATCTTAAGCAGGCTCCATGCCCAGTGTGAGAACCTGACGTGAGGCTCATGACCTGAGCTGAAATCAAGGGTAAGACACTCACTCAACTGACTAAACCACCCAGGCATCTCTATTGTCATCTTATTATATCTCTCATCCATATTAGTTTTAGCTGAATAGTGGTTATTAGAGAACAAGTAAATGAAGGAAAACTGGGGCATTTATAGTCATTGTCTATTGGTTTTAATAAGGTCTTTTGAGGTCAAATATGTATTGCTCATCTGTTTATAAAGACAGTATTCGCAGTTAACGGTTCTAGTTCCCTGGATTCCAATCATGTTTAAAAAGCCACTGTTGTGGGTGGTGGGGGGCGCACGCGCAGAGAATCCGCCGTGGATTCATGGTCTATCTTGCTTTCTCAAAACTAAGCCTGTCGCTTGCTAAACTATGAAAAGTAGAGCTATATGTTTCTTTTCATTTCTCTTTCTGGAATGAACTTCAGCTTTGAGTACTGAAGGACCTTCAGTAACTAGTGTTTTCTTTACCCTCATAAAATTACTGTAAGGATTCAATAAAACAGAGCATATAATGTACCTGAAATCTAGTATCCAACACATAGCAAGCTTTCAATTCATATTTGCTGCTATTACTTTGTACTATGCAAAACAGTCATCCTTGTGATTGACCAAGAAGCAAACTAAAAGTTTGCTTTATAGACCTAAAAGTTCTATATTTATTATATTTTAGTAGAAAGAAAGAAAAGTCCTACATTTCTGTTGTTGTTATATAAAACATGCAAACCTGTTTTACTGTTTACTGGTCGAACAAGATGGTATTAAAAAAAAAAATCACCCATCTAGATTTGGCAGTTGGAGGAAGAAGGAAATGAATATGTTGCGTGCTGATGCTGGATATTTGCTATTCTTTGTGGGGAGGAAACACACTGGCATTCTCCTCCACCTGATCTGGTTACTTTACCATATATGGTAAATATACCTAATGATAGGTAAACATGTATGTAGGTAAAAATTATATATTTATTATATATATAATATATAAATATATAATAAGTATAAAAATATAAGGTAAATATACCTAATCTGGTTACTTTACCATACCATATATGTATGCATAAAACTTTTCAACATTATAAAACTACTTGACTCTGATTTTTATCAGGAAATTCCATAAAATAAGTACATAATAATAATTTTCCAACTATTAGTGCCTCCACAAATTTATTCCACTCTTTTTGTTTCCATTTATAATCCTAAAACACATATAATGACCACAGTAAATTTCCCATTAAGAAGATTTCTGCCACATGTTATTGCTTCATTTTAATTCAAAATAGAAAACTAAAAAAATAAATCTACTTCTCATAACTCTGAGATGGAATTTCAACTAATATTTATGTTTTGACTGAATTAAGGAAACATAGCAAAAAGTAAGTATGCATTGAAGTTGTGTGAGACTCCCAAAACCATATGTTGCCATTGAAAAATATCTTTTGTGGGGCTATACTTCAGATATTTTCATGAGTAATGCTTCCATTTTGGTTTAAAATATATGATGAGGTAATTAGATTGCAATACTCAAATTTCTGTTTGACATACACTCTCCTCTTTTAACAAACAAACCACACAAACTGAGAATGTTACACAGAGAGAAGACATTTTCCTTTCCCAGACCTGCATTTGGCTTCTTAGGGAGTGGAGAATGAACCTTTCTTGACACAAAAGGAGATGTTTTAAGATGTTTCTAGTTGCATGCCATTCTGAACTCTCGTTAGCATATTTTCCAGCCTACTTTTTGAATATGACATTATACACAGAACAAAGCTTCATAGAGTGCTTAAACCATTTTGTATGTTTAAAACAAGGCATGCCTCTGAAGTTATTCACTAACAGTTTTAAAAGTAAATCCAATGTCCCTGATGGATACTGATTCAAAACTCCTCCACAAAATACTAGCAGATTGAATTCAACAGTTTATTTAAAGGTTTATACACCATGACTAACAATGGATTTATACCTAGAATGCAAGCATGGTTCAATATATGAAAATAATTCAAAGGAATATACCATATTAACAGAATGAATGAAAAACCCACATCATCATCTCAGTTGAAGAAAATACACTTGACAAAATTCAACACACTTTCATGATAAAAACACTCAACTGACTAGGCATAAAAGAAAAAAACCACATATGAAAAGCCCACAGCTAAAATCATAATCAGTGATGAAAGAGTAAAAACTTTTCCTCGATGATCAGGAACAACGTAAGGATGCCCACTCTAGTTACTTCTATTCAACTTAGAACTGGAAGTCCTAGACAGAACAATTAGATAAGAAATAAAGCATCCAAATTGGAAATGAAGAAGCAAAATTCTGTTTGCAGATGGTATGATCTCACATGTAGAAAACCTTAAAATGTCACAAAAAACCCTTAACTGTTAAAAACTAATAATTTCAACAAAATTGTGAGACACAAAATAAATTCATAAAATCAATTGTGTTTTTGTACCCTAACAGTGACTAATCCAAAAAGGCAATTAATAATCCCACTTACAATAGCATTGAAAGACTAAAATACTTGAGAATAAATTTTACCAAGCAGGTAAAAGACTTGTGCACTCAAAACTACAAAACACTGCTAAAAGAAATAAAACATACAAATATATAGAAATGTATCCCATGCTCATGAATTATATTGTTAAAATGCCCATACTATCCAAAGTGATCTACAGATTCATTGCCATCTTTATCAAAAGCTCAATCACAGTTTTTGCAAAAATAGGAAAAAAAAAAAAAATCTCGGGTTGGTTAAGTGTCTGCCTTCGGCTCAGGTCATGATCCTAGAGTCTAGGGATGGAGTCCCTCATCGGACTCCCTGCTCAGTGGGGAGTCTGCTTCTCCCTCTTCCTCTGCTGCTCTCTCTGTCAAATAAATAAATAAAATCTTAAAAAACATATTGAAATTCATATGGAATCTCAACGGACTCCAAGTAGCCAAAACAGTCCTGAAATAGAACAAAGTTGGAGGCCTCACACTTCATGAGTTCAAAACATACAATAAAGCAATAGTAATTAAGATGGTGGGATACTGGCATAAAGACAGGAATATAGACGAATGGAAGAGAGGATACAGAAATAAACTCTCCCATATATGATGAAGGGATCTTTGATGAAAGTGCCAAGACAAAACGATGAGGAAAGAATAGTCTCTTCAACAAATAGTGTTGGATATCCACATGCAAGGGAATGAAGTTGGACCCTTTACCCTATAACATATACAAAATTTAACTCAAGAAGAATTAAAAACCTAAATATAAGACCTAAAACTGGAAAACTCCTAGGAGAAAACATAGGGAAAAAGCTTCAGAACATTGGATTTGACAATGATTTCTTGGAATATAACACCACAAGCACAGGCAATAAAAGCAAAAATAGCAAATGTGATTAAAGCAAACTTATAAACTTCTGCACATTGAAGGAAACAATCAACAGGCTGAAAAGACAATCTATAAAATAGGAGAAAATATGTGCAAATCTTTATTATCTGATAAGGGACTAATGTCCAAAATACATAAGGAACTCCCATAACTCTATATAACAGCTACAACAACAAAAAACCAAATAGTATGATTAAAAATTATGCAAAGGATTTAAATAGACAATTCTCCAAAGATATGTGAGAGGACAATAAGCATATGAAAAGATGCTTAACATCACCAATCACGAGGAAATACAAATCAAAACCAGAATGGAATATGACCTCACATCCATAAGGATGACTACCATCGAAAGAAAAGAAAGTAACAAGTGGTGGGAATGTAAAATGATGCCTCTGCTCTGGTATACAGTATGGGAGTTCTGAAATA